TGGTATTTTAGTTTAGTTCTGATGAGGCAATTAGTAAAAATCATTGTGAAGCTGATGCTCCAGCCATTAATGGAAAACTAATTCAATGCCTTCATTGGGATATTCAACATCTAAACTATCTGGACTCCTCTCCTCCTGCATAGAAGATATTAAGAACATATATACAGACTAAGACATGCACCAATTTAATGCGAAAAGTACTCTATGCTGAGTTGGAAAATTCATAGTGTGCAGTTAGCTTCACAGTTTGTATGTATTATACAAATAAAAATTGTTGACATAAAAAAGTGTATGAAAATGTATCATCTGTGGTGGAGAGAACACTTACCAAATGCTACACATAATCAGAATCTGTAGTTCATTTCCCAACAGTTATCACTGTCAGTGAAAAAAAAAAACACTGTTTCTAAAGATTCATATATAACAATTAAAAAAAATATTTTCTAGCTACTGAGCAGTAATGCAGATACAACTTCAAAGTTGCATCTTTTACTTTATTTTAAATTTGTATCCATTAGAAGAGGAGAATCGATGCTGAACTCAAATGCACACAATGCATGCAAATCTGCATTATTGCATCACAAAGGATCTTCCCCTGTCATTCCTTCACAGTTATTTTGGAGTAAACAAAGGGTGTGTTAAAATCCATCCAGATGCATACGTGGCTCCATGTGAGCGTTGGTCACACAACCAAACCAAAGCTCTGCTGGTACACTAGATGTCAGTGAGTCATGGCGATCTTTAAACACGTGCTGTTTATCTCATCTTTGATGCCGCTGATATTGAGCTACCCTTTCTACCCTCCAACATGCTATACTAAGGTGCTGAGCATGGCCCGGGACCTCACCCAGTGGGCAGCAGATTTGAAAAGGGACCCAGAGACTGTAAGTCAGCTTGGTAATTTTTTATTTTACTTTACACTTAAGTGGTATTTTATAACTATTCTAACTGTTTAAAAACTTGTAAATAATAATGATTCTGTACTTTACATAAATAATTGTATATTATTTCAGCTGGCTTTAGTGACACGAGAAACATAATTTCAAAGAAATAATAGAAAGTCAGGAAAGGTTGTAAAATCTGTGAGACTTGATAGCTGTCATTCTTTTCATCCAGAGTTACTGCATGGCACGCATGCCAAATCTCTACATTGATGTTCATGTAAGTATGTCTTTATTATTAAAAAAGAATAATAAAATGGCATGATATTTGCCATATAACATTCCGAAAAGAAAATGTTTTCTGCGCTCTCCTTTCTGTCGATGATCCACACACATTGTTTTGAGTAATCTGGCCGTCCCTGCATTTTTGACGCTCACTTATGTGGTATTTTGACTGCAAACTTTAGCTGCAGTAAATCATGCGCAGGGACACTAATTGTTACTCATGACAGAATGGTTGTGTGATGTACAAAATGAGCACCTACCTCCAAATGGTGGAGGGCCTGCGACAGCGCCGCTGTGCTTACACCAGAGATGTAAGGAAGCTGGGTGTCACTATGCGACAGCTCTTCATCATCATGTCAGAGAGATGCCACGGGGTAAGACAAGACAAGCTGTCTAAATAAGTGTAAACTGTGCCATACTCAATCATATATCAGATATTAACATCCCATCTTGTGGGACTTAAGTGTGGTGTAGTGCATTTTTGCCTGGAAACTCTAGAAACGTCATAAAGTAAATTACAATTCATAGTTAAGATCAAACGTATAGCTCTGATTAAACCAGATTTTTATTGAATATGTAGTCACTGAGCTGCGTTTTAACTCACCCATGCACCTGATATAGTTTCATAAACTGAAAACAGGCTAACAGTGATGAGATGCATTCAAACTAACTGCTGTTTACTGGGTCACTCACTTGGTGATTTCGCAGGATTAAGCAGGGTTTATGATGCAGATTATGAATAACCTTCTGTGCTCTGTGAGCATTTGATCCCACTCACCTGATCTGTGATGTCAGACCCATCTGGGTCTGCTATTGGTGTCCTGACATGACTGATCTGCCCGTCTAGCCGAGGCCACAATGCCTCAGAGAAGGGTCAGAGTAAATTCACTTACATTAGAGAGAAAGGCAACCTTCTGCTGTGGCTTACATAAAGCATATATAAACATTATTTATCAAGAGAAAAACAAGTCACTGTTAAAATGTTCACACCTCCCTCACCGGTGTCCCATGGTGTGTTTTGTTTTCATAGGACTTGGTGTTCACAGCCTTTGACTGCTCTGCCCTGGAGCGCTGACATCCTGGATGCTGAAATATTTCAAGCTGCTCACCGAGAACGTTGATAGACAGCGAGAGTCTCAGTGGACATTCTTTATTTCTTCAAGTAATGACAGAAAAAAAAAAACCTGGAAGACATGAGTATGAGATCACCTCAGTAAACCATATTGTGATTCTGATGTTATAAGCATGCATTCTCTTTGTAATGACATTTATTACCAACTAGATGATAAAGCAAAATATTTTACAGAATAAGATGCATTATTTTTTTAATATTACACAGGCTTCTTATAGAATGAATATAGTCACATTTTTGGTTGATAGACAGTTGTTTGAATAA